AACATTTTTAACGGTTGAAAACGCGAAATATATTAGTTGACTTAAATTTTATTTATTTTAATTACGACCCGACGTGCACTTATACAGCAGCCGTGGTCACGAGGATCACTTCTTGTCGTAGTTAAATCGGGTCTTTTAAATCATTAAAATTGTTTAATTTAGATAATACGTAAAATACAGACAATATTTAGTATCAAATGACTAGTGAGGAAAATCCAACCGTAATTTTATATCACTTCTTTGTGAATTAGTTCCCAGGAGACAAGCGATAGGAATGGCGTTCTGCCGGATTGAGTCACATTGTGGCTCGGTATTCCCTAAGTTATTATGCTAGGGACAATAGAGAGGCAAATTTCTAAAGCCGCCCGCAGTGGAGACCCACCTTTACGTACTGTATTGACGTTTTACACGTACTTAGTAAATTGCAAAACATACGTAGCCCGCGTAAGATATAAAGACATCTCGATTTGTGTTCAAGCAATTTTCAGCCTAATATGATGTTTAAGTGATTCGCGTTAAATTACATTTAGATTTTAAATAAAGTAAATTCAGGGTTTACTCCTTGATCAGAATTGTATGTATAACAGATAACTATTTAAATATGTACTGTAATACACCCTATAGATGAAAAAATGTTGTAAGATTAACTTGCAAGAACCAAGGGACGACGTCATTGGGCATCAGCTTAAATCTATGAAGAAGGAGAAGGAATTGCGACAGCAAATTTGGATGCCCAAAATATCTATTCTATGCGGACGAAGTCGCTGATACGGTCATAAATAAAATCGATCAGCGACACGGGCCTATAGAACACGGAAACACCCATACAATAAAGGCAAACTAATATTTGTATTAGCCTTTACAACGCCGGACATAGCCTGCCTAACCCAGCTAAAAGCGTCCTTCAAAGCCTTTTGAAAGGGAAATCTCCATCGTAGAGGTTTATTTTCTCCTGATATATATCCTAGGCATACCCTTAAGCGTGGAGCCAGTTCAGCTGACCTAGAAACGCGAACCCTCCGCAATATTTATAGAGTGAGGGCAATTCACCACGCTTCAATAAACACATTTGTGAAGTTCATTAATTAATGCCGAGATGAGTTAGTTATTTGCATTGTGCATTAGCTAAATACCAGCAGTTCTAGTGTCCGCTTCATTTATGTTACGTAATATTTACATTTGAATAGGGGGATACAGGGGACGGACGGGCTAAGACTTTACGGTGTGATTTTCGTAATTTTACATTCATTAAAATTTTTTAACGTGCACGTTAGTCTAATGGTAGCAATTTACAGCTAATGATCATCGGGCCATGGGTTCGATCCCCACCGGGTCCACCGGTCCGGGTTGGTCTACGTCTGGAAATCTGGGTAATAAATGGGTTGTAAGAATATAGAAATTACATCCGGTCACGAACCACCGTCCACAGATGAAAAAGCGATGAAGCTTTACTGCGTTTCTGTAGATTTACGAATATCCAAAGCAAAATCTCCTATCCTCCTCTATAATTAAAAAAATCAATTATATATTGAAAAAAAAATTAGGATACGGACAGGGCTTGAACCGGAATTCACTGCTGCCAACGTAGTTAAATTGTTTTCAATCTTAAATCGATTTTTAACATATATAATGCCATCATGTATTTCTATTATTATTTTGTATTTATTGTATACATTCATTTCCAAGCAGATCTGTATTCAAGGAGTTTCGGTTTTACTCGAATTCTAATCTAAGACGTTCCATGATCTACGCTATACTTATACATGCTAAGGCTGTATTTGCGAAAACATGGACGAAAAATATATATTACACATAAATTTCACGAAAAGGAATGATAGTAATTAAGTGCCAACACGGACAAAAAGGGTTAAAGTATGATGAGATATATAACCCGGGCCCACGCTTTCCAAAAAAAAAACGCAAGGATTGCAAAGTACAAGGTCTTTGACGAAGTAAAAGATGAAATGTGATAAATACATGAAAGTAATGCTACGTTTCAAAGGCAAAAACAGACACGATTCGAACCAGCCATTTTGAAAGTACAACGCTATTCTGATGGCTATAAGTTAAGATACCATCACCTTGCTATAAGATGAGTCTCCCTGTGATCACGGCTGCTGCAAAGCATCCGAAACGACGGGCCGTAGTTAAAATAATTTCCAAACAAGTTTAACTAATATATATGACGTTTTAAACAGTTAAGGTGTTTTATTTAAAAAGAGAAACCATGTTTCAATCATTCGAAATTTAACTTTTAATTATTAGCCCTACAATATCCATTGTTTTTTAACAACACAACACATGGGGCATTTCTTTGTGTAGAGCAGGCGAACAATTAAAAAAGCGGTTTCAAATTAAGGCACACCAACTTCGTTTGAAGCGTGGCCTTTGAACTTCGAGGAAAATATTATCTCGTTTGAACCCGTAAATTACATTTGATACAACGGTAATTGTAAAAGAAATTACGTGTTTTCCTTACAGCGGTTCAATTTCAGCGAAATCCGAATTTGATATGGCGCTCGGCTCATTCTTTTTCATGTAACGAATCGCTAATGCCCGGAGTGGAGTAATGTGAAAACCATTCAATTTGTATGCAAATTAACTTGTCTATACGTTGCGGGAATAGTAAATAATACATTATATCGGCACTAACGAATAAATATTCACAGTTTTAGAGCTTTATACGCGATGGAATTTTAAAATGTACTAATCATTTTAAAATCTAATACACGAATATCAAAGTATGTTCTTATAATCGTCGTCTATTTTTTTACGATAGAGGAGAATAGACAAACAAAGGGTGATAGGTAAAATACCTATACCAGACGTTTTAAAAATATATAGTTAAAATAAATGTATAATATTTTTTTGATAGAAATAAACTTTTTAATAACTATTATATTAATATTATATATATTCTATTAATCTATACTTATTTAGATCCCCCTTAAAAATGGAGCCCAGTCTAGTAACTTATAAAATAGAAATCTTTTTTACTATTAAAAAATCAATAAGCCACTCGTGACAATAAAAAATTTCCAAAGTATGCTCCTGTTTTCGCGAAAGTCGTAATTCTGTTTCTTGTTAACTTTAATCGCCTGTCAATGGTTGTTTGTCTGCAAAAGACGAACAGCGCAGTCATTTAATGGAGATAAAAGGTTTAAGAAAACAATGTTTACGTTTAGGCCATAATAGACTATTTATGACGTTAAATGAATAAGTTGACTAGAAAAATTGTATATTTGGGCTGTATAATGAACTCAGTCAGTCTCATACACTGAAAATCAGTGTTGCAACACTGGCTTGGTTGATCTTAGTTCATAGTGTTTTATTTTTGTGGGCCACTTTTAAATAAATGATTTATTATTTTTATACAGGACAGAAGTAGTATAATCATAAAAATATCAATATCAATGTCCCATTGATGGGAACATTTCCTCCCTCGTTTAGAAAAGCATAGACCCATTGCGGTGCTCCATTGTGGGTTCATGGACTACCGTCACGAAATTACTGGTCGGGCCCGTCGTGACCAGGATCGACGGCTTAACGTACTCTCCGAGGCACTTAGTATTGTCTGTAGTTCACGCGAGTAGTACACATTTTAACAAAACACTTTTAACAGTTTAAAACGCGAAGCATATTAGTGAACTTATTTTCAATTCAAATAAAGTGCGTTTTTATGTAAAAGTATATAATCTTTTCAAGTAAGGCTTCATATAAAATGGCTGCACTTACGTGGTACGGATATAAGGAATAGGCATCCGTTTACTAGAAATATGTTTTCCTAAGATGCGGCGCGCTTCAATTGCATTTGTAAAGGATACAAAATCAATACACGGGATCTCGCTAGTGGCGCAAGCTTTATTGTAAACCACAAACTTCACGAACCTTTTAGATCCAAGCGTTTTCCGTCACGTACAAAATCAATCTCTCATTCCCATTGATTACGGCGGAATGCCGAAATAAATCAACCAAAAAACCGCAACGAAACGTGCCAATTGTTTGCATCGTCCGACCGACAAGAGGTAGAAAATGTCGCTATGCGGCTTCGTATAATATAGTAAGTGTGTGAAATCCCGTTTTCCCCTCGTGGGGCATGGGGCGAACACATTTCTGTGTCCGTTCCACTGTTCCGTTCGTATAAAAGGCAAGTAGTGGATGCACTGCTGACCGAAACAATTTTTTGTTTCCCTGAGATTCGAACCCAGGATTTCTCGGTCCACGCAATGCTAGACAATACGTTGAACCATTTGGCTACAGAGGCGGTTAAGACTTTCGCATACATAAGAATAATTAGATATTGTTAACAAAAATGTTCCTCCGTCTTCAATGGAACGAGCTGGTTTTTCATAAAGAAAATTTGCTTCTATAAATTGCAACCTATTTTCATTTTATTCCTATTAAAAGTGTGTGAAAATTGAAGCACAATCCTTAAGGACGCAGTTTCATAAAGATATGACGATATTATGTTATTTTTTGTAGGCAAATACTTTGAAAGCAGACAAGCAAAAGGTTCCCCTGATACAAATTGAAATACCCTAGTATTATCACATCCACTCCTTTTTTGGACACTCAGAAATGAATAGACTGAAATCCGAATAGATATAAATTCAACATTCCTGCCATCAATTTAACATACAGATTATCTACACGAAGTCTTAGAAGGATCGAAAATTTTTAAATTAAAAAAAAATACGATACGGCCAGGATTTTTTCCCTTCTTATTAGTAAAACTTAATTGATTTGGGGAGTCTCCTCGAGGCCACGGCTGCTGCAAAGCATCCGAGACGTCAGGCCGTAGTTAAAATAATTTTCAAATAAGTTGAACTAATAAACACCGTAACAGTGTTTGTGTAGTATAATATTAGAGTGTTAATTTATTTAAACCTTAGAAACCTCCTTAGAAGTTTAGTTCAACTGAACTAAACTTCTGAAGTTACAAGTAGAGAATGAGTTATTTCAATAAGCAAAGCTTAACCTAGCTACAACAAATTACTTACGCGATAGCATCGATCATATCCAGTCCCATTTCAACAGTGCATCGAGCATGATCGGACCTCGGCTCGGGCAACCCAGACACACAGTAGTAGCAATCACCCAAGATCTTGATGCGGAGGCAGTGATTGTCCTGCAACGTGTACCAGTATTGAATTATCTTCAGTCGATTCGATTAATATCTGCTCAATCGATTGCTGTGTTGATGCAATCGATTAAATACTTGAAGCAATCGATTTTAATCTCGTTATCGATCATGTTTTATTACAAATCGATAAGTAATAAGATAGTATACAGATCTTATATTAGGCATTTCAATAGTAATGCATGTAAATAAATTATCGTGTTGATATTTAAGTGTAAGAGAGTTTCCACATTTTAAATATATAATTTTTGCATTAAGAATTTGAAGTATTCATAGTTTTAGAAGTTTTAATAAGAAGTTTGGTTTAATAAAAATAGATTCATTAGGTTTTTAAATGAAATCGTTTTAAGGGATTAAAACGCGAAATATTTGGCGTTCTACGGCTGTATAGTTTACATTTCAAGCCGTCAGCGGAGTTTATTTTGAATATAACACAATGGTTAAAATATATTAGTTGACTTATTATTTTTATTAGGTCTCGACGTTTCGGATGCTTAGGAGCGACGTGGTTTAAAAAGAATAGTAACTAATATATTTTGCGTTTTAAACCGTTAAAAGTGTTTTATTCAAGTGTTCAACTAATTATGACGGTAGCTTTTCAGAGTACTAACATTGGCCAGCTGATCGAATCTGCCAAATAGTTCGTTGAGTAGCCGCACCAGCTCCTGGGCGCTGCACTGCGATGCGAGAACCGTGAAGCCCACGATATCGGCGAAGAGAATACTGAAACAATTAAACAGTAAATATATAAAATTCTCGTGTCACTGTGTTAGTTACTATTCACCTTCGCATCGACTCGACCGACTTTTTAATTAATTTGAGTTTAAGTTTTTCTATGTTTCATCCCCATAAGGATTTTTCCCCACATATTTATAAATTAATGAATAAATGACTTTTTGAATAAAAGGATTGATGTATTTAAAACGCGCAGCTGCCAGTCCCGTTATCATCGGAAATTTAGTGGAGGTAGTCATGAAGGCTCTGGTAACCCGCACTTAAGCAGCGAGGTGGGTCAGTTTTACATCGGATCCTCTATTCTATGGTAGTGTAGACCTAGTTTACATGCAAAAAGAGGAGTAGCGGCGAGTTTGTGAACTGGTAGTCAATTTAGAGATTTAACTGTATTGATGTTCATAAGTGTACCTAAATTATATGTAAATGATTTGATTTGAATAAAGATATTGAGCGAAATCTATCAAAGTTACATAAAATTCCGAAATACTAGTATTCGACTTATTATTTGCAAAACTAGTACCACTGTTTTATTTGAAAAGGCGTTGATTCATAAGAAACAATACAACAGAATTGATGTTATTCAAGTTACACAGGAAACTTTTCGAATGCGAGGCTCGCAGGAATAGACATTCGATATTTGTCTTTCCCCAGGGTCAAAACTATCTGAATACCAAATAGGAGGTCGCTTAAGACAGCGACAGAGAAAATCTCAAAGGCATATGGATTTATTCAGTTTAAAAGTAGGTAAATCAGACGATGAATAAAATATAAGTCAATTTTAATACAATGGCAAGTCCTCTTTGTGGGGCATGAACGGACGCACATTTGTGTCCATTTCAGTAATCGATTTTTATCCAGACAAGGTTTCATAAACTTAGGATATCTATTTTTACAGTAGAATTTTACTCTATAATTGTTTCTTAAAAAGGTCTTTGTAAGTAAATGCATTTTACAAAATCGTTGAGCGAAATTATTCTACAATGCAGTTCTTTGAAAGTGCATCTTGTTTGCTTTACCCGTAACAATCTTATTTTCCCATCTTTTTCGGTTTCGTAGAAAATAATTTTCCCGTTATATTAGTTTTCCTTGTGGCAGACGGCGGTTGCCCGTCCTTTTATTACGCCCACTTGGAGTCTATAAGATCTCCAATTTGGTATAAAGCTTCATGGTAAATGATAAATGTCTTGACAATTTAATCCAAAAATATGTAAGATTTTAAGTCTTGGTGACATAATGACATTTATCAATGACCTTTTGACATTTTTTTAGTTTGATAGCTAAATGGTTTCTACCAATATCATCCGACTATAGTGGAAGGATTAGACGTGATGATATAAACTATTGTTAGTTTAAAATTCGAAAAGAATTTGAAAAAAAATTCGCCTCGGGCAGGGCTTGAACCGGCATCGTCAGCGTTCCGTGCTGTTGCTCTACACCTACACCTCATCGTCGATTTTTTTCAACTTATACATGCACCACTCGTGCAATGTAATTTCAACCTTAACACATTTAAGTTTTAGGGTTCAACATCGTATGCTTTGCAGCTTAAGAAATCATTGAAGATAAACGATTGTTGTTTTTATTTTGTTATTTTTAAAAAGCAGTCCTTTTTAAAAATCTATTGTTATCGTTAACGTTGATTTACATAAAAGGTTTGATTTTATATTTTAATTATAATTCTTGATTAGCTTTTAGCAATATTTGTATATTGTTTTTATTATAGTTATGACTAAATGACGCAAGTGTAGTTTTATTCAACCAAAACTTCACACTATAGAAGCCCAAAACTTGTGGCTAATATCTACAATTCGTATTAAAGGTGCAAATATATGTATTAATTTAAACAGACAGTAGAGAATTAATAATACAATATTTAGGAGCAATAGCAACGAAGAACTCGTTGGACCAATGGTAGGAATGTATAATGATAATCATAGTGTCGTCGATTCGATTTCAACCGGGTCTAACATTATTCTAAAATCAATTTATAATTTTTACCGAACTTTGAGGATTAGTCTGGAATATGTGTGTTTAATGGATAGTAGGAATAATATATTATAATAATAAAGATCCATCCAGAGCAAGGTACAGGAAACATGGAAAAATTTAAAGCCCTGATTTGATTTTAATCTGTGGATATTCGTATGTCCAAAGATGGGGCTATATTTTACCTTTTATCGAGGGAATATCATCCCCATGTTGGATAACCCTATATTATATTCCTCTTCCTAAATATTTCATTACAAGTGATTGATCTAATCTTTTGACTAAATTCTATATTCAATTTTACACCTGTCCGCTAACAAAAGGGCTATAAATGTAAAAGTTTTCGGTCCACCTGACCGCAACACGGTTTCAGATTTTCACGATTGAAAACACTCGAACCACACTATCGGGTCAGATAAATAATGGATATGTAGTTTGACAATTTTAAACGGGATTAAATGCGTAACTAATTGTAGCGATCGAATTGAGAACTGACTCTTGTGTGCAAGCTATTACAAAACTGGATTAGGGTTCTAAATTTGAATCCCGTACGTCCAGTCCAGCAACATTGGAATTTTCAAAACGGCTTATCCGGGGTTGCCAGAAGTTTCTTTTTTGTACATTTGTGCCCCATTTTATCTAAAATGCCAAAGAAATTCTAGCAGAAGGCTGTACTTTTAATTGTAAAAATTACTGTGAGTGGCATTTTCTTAAAATGATGTTTTCTAAAGTTTTGTTATTTGTTTAAAACACTTATAACGGCTTAAATCGCGTTATGTATTCGTTAACTTCAGTCCGTTACTCGTCCCAGACAAAACAGCTACAAAGCATCCGAAACATTGGGTCATAGATAAAATTTATTGTAATAAACAAATACGTTTAGAGTTTTAAACCGTTGAAAGTTTATACTTCAATTGTGCACTTTGTTTATTAACTTTAAATATCTTGCGCATGTATTTCTACATGCAGCCCCGGTTTATGTTCCAATATTCTCAGAGCAGCGACGTAACTTATAACAACGAGTTGAAATAACAAGGCATAATTTACCCCCAGGATAATAAATGTAGGTTGCATTGTTCGTCGTCGCCTACATGCACTGCTGCACCGCTGCTGGCGATAATGAGGCAGCAATTACGAGATTAAGTCTCTTATTTGTCTAAAATGGGATGATGACATTCATAATATACTGGATGATACTGTTTGTAGTTTACGCGAGTAGTACACATTTAAATATATACTTTCAACGGTTTAAAACGCGAAATGTATGATTAAATTATTTTCAAAATAAATAAGTTATACTATACATTTCGCGTTTGAGACTGCTAAAATGTTTTTTTTTAATACAAGATGATTTTCAATATAATCGATTATTGATCGAAGTTACAATCGATGACATGTAAGCAAGCAATTTAAACTAAATAATATAGTGAAAACCCGTTTCCCCTTCGTGGGGCATGGGGCGAACACATTTTTGTGTCCTTTTCACGATCCGTTCTATAACAGGCAAGTAATTGATCAGACTACTGTGCCCTGCCCGACTGAAACAAATTTTTGTTTCCCTGGGATTTGAACCCAGGACCTCTCGCACTTAACGCAATGCTTAAGGCAATACGTTTATCCATTTGTTTTATATATATTTATCTATATATAAAAATATTTAAATATTATTAATATTATGTAAACACAGATTTTCTATTCTATATGTTTTTTCCTAGCTGAGTGGTCGGTACCAGTCAACGAAGTAAGATATTATCTGAATTACACCTTTTAAAAAATTAAAGTAAATATTGCATAGGCATGAAGTCTAAATTACCATTCTAAAACAGACAAAGTATAGAGCAAAGATAATTAAAACAAACGAACAGCAAACTGGTTATGCGCGTTTGACATTAGTGATGATGCAGCGCGCTATAAAACAGAGTACGGATTCCAAGGATAATAGCTTCTGCCCAATAAATTGTTTGAGTTGTGCGACTATAAAGGAATGAGTTTGTCTCAATGGTGGATCGTGTGTCGAATGTATATGTTACCGGGAAACTCTTAAATCCGGTGTTTTACGAAAAGACCCTATGTGCTGTTTGGAATCCCTATAACGCGTAGATAAAGTATAAAATATTATTGGTATATGAAAAACAAGTTAGTGTCATATTAGCTAAGGATTGATCGATAGTAGCAAGGTTTCACAGGTGTTCAATCATGAAAATATGTTTCACTCATATTATAGGCTATAGATAAAATAAACGAACATATATTTATTTTTATATTGCTTGACTCACATCTGGAACACAATACAATACAGTACCAGAAATACAACAACGAGCAACATCGTTGTGGTATTGGTAGCAATGTTTGGCTAATAATATTCAACGGGTCGTGGGTTCGACAACCCGGACAAGGTTTTTTAATTAATTAATAATTATTTTGAAACACGTTGGACTTTATCTGAAAATCTGGATATTAAATTGGTGGTATGATTATGGAAATTTTGACCGAGTCACGAACCACCGTCCACAGATAAAAAAGTCGTGAAATTTAATCGCATTTCGGTATCACTTCGAGGGTTTTAGAATATTTAAAGACAAAATTGGTTTAAATAAAACACTTTAACGGTTTAAAACGCGATATATTAGTTAAACTTATTTGAAAATGATTTTTAACTTCGGCCCAACGTTTCGGATGCTTTACAGCAGCCGTGGTCACGGGGAGATTTTGGACTTCTTGCGTAAACTATAGACAGTACAACATCATGACAACACATCTTGTTTGGATGTGTATGTTGGGGGTATATCATCTGCCACTTAGTTTTAACTTCACAGAGCACACTGTGTTTGTTCTTGTTACTTTAGACGCAACGGCCGCTACTGGAGCTACTGAAATCAGTTTAACGTTATGCTGATTGGCTCCTGTTTTGGGCTCTTGGTTTAATTTTATTTGTTGTATCGTTTTTAATTGTATAACTACTTAATTAGTTAGTTTAATTCATAATAATGCTGTGCCAGTTT